AATTTATTTTAGTTAATTAAAATTTGTTTTTAATTGTAGATCCTAAAAATAAGTTTAAGAAGCATTTTGAAGTTATTAAAAGATAAAACAGAAAAGCGAGGGACCATTTTGAATATTTAACCCATTAGAGTTAACTGTATTAATGAGGATCTATTGGTTTCGGTCCAATTGGATCCACTTTGAGAATTTCAATGACTTAATGACCTTATTTAAGCACAATAGAACTTTGAAACCTTAATTACGGATTTGGTGAAAGTTTGGGATCTTAGTCAATTCTTAAGCCATTGACACTATGGGGGGTTAAGGGTGTGTTTAGTTAGAGGCCACCTTCCTTGGAAAATTTTTATCGTAAAAGTAGTTCAAAATATATTATGTAAAAGGTTAGAAAGTATTGTACAGAAAATTGTTAAATTTTTATAATGAGGTTTTGTTGAAATTTTATTTGGATTATTAATTTTGTTGTACTTAATAAAAAATTGATATAGAAAAACTTTAATAGAAAAAGTTGTTAAATGAACCTAATACAAAAAAAAAAAAAAAGTCATAGAAGAGCTTTTTTCTTTAGAAATAAGTATAAAAAAAACTTTATAGGTTAAGAATTGTGTCAAAAAAAATAAAAGCTAAAAACATTACTTTTGCCTTATTTGTTATAATTTTGAGGCATCTAAGAATCAAATTATCCTTGCAAAATCTTGGAGTGAGGTATTTCCTGGAAAAGTAAAAGGGTTAAAGCTAACTACAGTCCATTTATTTTCAACTTTCATTACATTTACCTCCCTTGACACAACCCTAACACCATTAATAACTCCCATTAACAGAGGAATTTTTTACCATTAAGTGCAATAAAATTTTTTTTTTTGGTTGAATTTGGTTTGAGGGCCCACAAAAATCCATATCAACAACCCACAAAAACTCCCTTCTTATTCCCTTCACCATACGAAAATCCCTAAATCTCTAAATCAAGCCAACCCATCTAAGGTTCTAGACAAATTTATCCTTAGATTGGTTTGTATACATAAAATGATATTATTTGATGTTTCTTTCATGCTCTTCAAGCTAGAAGAATTCAATGGCAATAGCTCCAATTCTAGACAGTCAGTACAAGATTTATAAGAATAGTAGCAAAAAATTAAAGCAAAAGAAATTGGCAAAGTATGCAATACAATGTAAAACTAAGGCGACTTACAAGCAAAATTACAACCCCTTTGGCTACATCCATAGAAGTACCTTGAATATTCAAATAGGAAAATTCCTCCATGGCATGTTCATTAGATTTTTTTTTACTATGTAGTCAAGATTTAATTTTAAATCTTATATAAGTAAAGATCTCACCCCCTTTTTGAGTGCTCAGAAGCCTCCGGGCTTCTCGAGCTTTTGATGCTTGAGTAGTCGAAGGGCTTCTCAAGCATGGTGGAGCCGGTCATCCATGCTTCTATGTCCAGTGACCACTTTAGATGATCTGTCAGTTCTTTTGTGGCCCTGTTGGTGGCCTTTGCTATGCTTTCTCTCTGTTTCTTGTTTCTTGTTTCTTGTTTGGGTTTTCTTAGATCTGAGTGCCAACAAGCCAATCATAAAGAATTTCGGGCATGGCTGCCACTTGCTCTAATGTTCCAACCTCGACATCCTAGAGAACATACGTAATTTATGTGAGAGTAAATGAGAGGGTGTCCAGACCTCTAGAACGGTTGACCGAAGGAAGTTGTCAATCTGTTTCCTTAACGGTTGTTTGTGTGAAATACTCACCGCCCTCCTTTATCTGTTTTATGTTGAACTTCATCTACTTTTCATTTTCTCTCCAATTATGCTTAATCTGTTTGTAATTTCGTCAATGTCATCTGAATTTCTTTGTAGATGCCGTATGATTTTGATGAAATGATATACTTTTAATTGAATTAAAAAAAAAAAATCTTATATAAGTAAAAATGCTATAATAAAATTTATTATAAGTGTATCAAAATTTTTTATAAAACCTATAATACCCTTTTATGATGTAACAATTAGAATATTAAATTTTTATCAATTAATTAATCAATTAAATTAATATAAAATTAAAAAA